CATACAGTGAAAACTGTGGGAGAGAAAGACTCAAGGCAACAACAGAACTGAAGACATCACTCCTGATCACTTTGACCATCATGTCTGGACACTCCTGACCTTCACGCTCACTGCTCTGGCCAGAGAAGAGATAACCAGGATGTAGCTGGTGAAAGAGATAACAAGGGCATTACTAGTGAAAGAAGGATAATTGAGAAGATTGTGTTTTTAAGGGGACTGGGGCAAAGAAGACCAAGTAGAAATTTTCGTATGAATATAGTGAGCTATAAATCCTGGTAAACTGGTGTAATAAATGGCTTTGGTTTGCTGGCATTGCAGAGTCCATGTCTCTCAATCCCCACACACCAGCTGCCCAGTCCCAATCCCAAACCTCTGTTTACCCTTCCAGTGTCCCAGTGGTACTCCCCAGCATCTTGTTTCTGCTCCCAGACCTTTGTAGCCCACTTGTGACCCCAGGCCGCTCAGGAACCTCACCCACATTCCTAAAGTCACCACTGCCCCCCCACCCCCGTCAGCCTTGGCCCTCTCCCAGACCCCAGTCCCACTGTCCCACTTCCAGCCCTCTTACCCATTTCATGTCACCCCAGGACCACAACCCAAATTCAGGGACCAACCCCTGACCCTGAAATGTCAGCCTGGAGCCCTCCATCACCACGGTCTACAGCCCCTGTCCCATGTTCCTCCACAAGTGTCCTATGGAATCCCCCCAGCCACCAATATTAAAATTGGCCAGAGTGAACTCCCTGATTGAACTGGAGGTAGCAGAAAGCAAGAATTCTTGATCAGCTCGAACTCACAACACATCTCTCCTGGTGCTGCACATCAGGAGGGACTTTGCCAGAAGAATCTATGCATCCTAATTGTATATATACATCAAAATGCACTTCTTAGCTAATACAAAACCAGAACATTTCCCGTAAATAATTGGCATGGCTCTGCCTCTTTTGGGAAATAATTTTTATTGTCCTGGAGGGTCATAAAAATGGGGTATCAGGATGTGGGTTTCACTAAGTGCCCCAATATCTCAGATGACCTTGCCTCAAACTTTCGTTTTGGGCTGGCACTGCTCTTTGTGTGTAACAGATCTTGCCACATACCCCTCATGCAGTTCCTTATATCTCTTTCTCCACAGGTTCCAGCAACCTTTGCCCTTCTGTGTGCACACTTTTACAGCCTTTTATTGTTTTTTGCTAGTTCTTTTTAAAGCTCTATCCAGCATCTTCAGGGGATCTGGAACTTTCTATTCTCTCACTTATTGCTCAGTCCACACAAACCCAATCCCACAGTCCCATGTTCCCCCAGTTCCCCCCAGTGGCGCTCCCATTTTACACTGAGTTGCTGCCTTATCTCAGATACCAATTGAGGTCCCCTATCAGATGACATCTCTGTAGGCACCTTGAGCCTGGGGATGATCTCCTGGGGGAGTGCCTGGGCGACTTCCCTGCCTTGTTGGTGTGGCAGGAGAAGTTCTGGACTCCAAAAAGGGATCGATCCACCAACACCAGGAGATAACCTGAGCCTATGTTGGTGTGGAAGCTCAGTAAATCCATTTGCCAGTTATAGCCAGCAGTGATTCCACTTCCAGTGATGCCTGGAGGTGATGGTTTTGAATTTAAACCGTTCTTTTAAAAACATATCAGGCATTGCTCTCTAACAGGCCTGACAATTTTGTCCTAAGGACGCTGAGATTCTGAGGCCGCAGACCGATCCCCATCACATTGATTTCCCAGAGCTTTGCTGGTGCTTTTCTCCTTTACCAATTGCAGCATCAGTTGGGGAGGGCCTGACACCTGGTTATTGGGAGTTACCTCTCACCTACCCACCCAGCCACCCTCATTATTGTGGGCTTTTAGGTAAGCAGCCAATTTTCAATCTGCCCAACTCTATCCAGGCCTCACCTCTGGGGCTGAAATTCCTCTCTCAGGAATTAACACCAGGATGCTTTGTCACAGAACCTACCG